GTCCCTCACATTTAACAAGTGAAATATGGTTCGATCATTGTGTTCCTGATAGTCCTGCCTCCTGCTATAAAATTTTAACTTTGTTGTAAAGGACCTCTTCACCCAGCAATGGGGCGCCTGATATAGCTTTACCTGCCTGGCCCTTACAACAGTTGTGAGAAAATGATGATAGGACTGTCTATTCTTCCTCTCCCGTTTCATCTACAGCTGAGTCGTTTCCATACCATGACAGTGGAACCAATGCATTMTGAGGAAGAGTGAAAAAACTTGGAAACTCATTGGCCGGRYGAWGAGGGATMGMTGGGTCCACCTGAGTCCATTCGTGAAAAGATAACTTGTAGTTTCTGATAAGAACCTGCTCCTCTTCCTTCTCTTCTCCCTCCCATTCCACCCTCCCTATTTTTCCCCCCTTCCCACCCCCCAGCCAGTCACTGCTGAATTTTTGGAAAATTTCTTTAATTTCAGATTTGGAAGAGTTGAACTGGATTTTTTCTTTTACCTTGATGCACTGATCCTGAATATCAGTTTGGATTTGCTGTTTTATGCTGTCCGTGAACTCCGGGCCATCCAGTCTAGCGTCTTCCCATTCGTAGGTATTCCGTCTTCGCCAGATAGCCCAGAGAACCGCACTTCTACCTATAGTAAACAGATTGTGGGAGAAATTATCTTCCGACTCTGGTGACCAGTGCGCAAGCAGCATTGCTTTCCATTCCCATGGCCATTTCACTGTGGTTTCTAGTTGTTCCCATATTCGGTCCCACCACCGCCAGAGCCAAACTGAGCCCGGGCACTCAAGGAATAAATGCTCTATTTTTTCTGGTATTTTTCTACTTGGGTACGCCGATTGACAAAGTTTGCACCATGGGTCTGCAATACCCCTTTTTTCCAGTGATGATCTGTCCATCAACCAATCATTGGTTGGGAGACACCTATGCTCAATCTGCCACTGAAGGGAAGCTACCTTCAATGGCTTGATCCTGGAACCTGTGAACCATTTAATGCACCTCAAGTCTTCCTTGCTGATGTTCAGTTGTTTCATCCATCTCTCCGCTACCTTGTCTTTCAGGTTTATTCTGGGTCTAATCATCCGGTAAGTTGATTTGACTGGTAAGGTATGTAGATATATGCTGAAATTTCTGTTGAGTTTGTTTCTGGTTCCCCAAGTCCAGCATTCAGGATCTATTAGTAGGTCTGCAATATCAGTTGATGGACGAAAAGTCAGCCACGACTGCGCATCCCTTGAAAAAACTTTGATTCTGAAGATGTTTTCCTCCGGTATCCAAGTTGGGGTGTTGTCTTTTTTAATACTCAACACGTTATCATCCTTTAGTTCATAAAGCTCAATTAAAGCATTATTTTCTGGTGCTATGAGGATGACATTGCCTACCCATCTAGGATTGTCCTTTATCGCCACCCAATCATTTTCCTGGAGTCTTTTCCCTCTCCTAAGCACTCTAAACCATTCAATAGGGATCAGTTCCACTATTCTGTCTAGATTGCTTTGTGCATGGTGACAATGCTTTAGTTTCTCACAGAGAATGTGAGGGGGAATCCAATCTCGCGAAGAATCCTCCCAAATATCCTTAATCCTGGTTACACCTCTCTTAATCCACCCCTTCCAAGGGTTATCATTGCAATGAAGAGTGGTGCCTTGGTGATCTCTTATCCATGTGTTGTTAAAGAGTGGTTGGCGGATGATTTCTTCCCATCGATCCGGGAGTTTTTGTCCGGTATGGGAAGCTTCCTCCATGTTTTGAGGATAGTTGGCCAGAAGGGATCCTTAGTGATGTCTTTCCTGACTGCAGCCCTGTTCGCATTTGAGGTATATCTGTCTCTTTGCTTGTGTCTCTCGGCAATGACCAGTCTCTATTCTCTAGCCACATGGTTGGGTCAATGGACTCCACTGTCTGTGGGGCTAGTCTCCTTAGTTGTTCCCAGGCTAGGCCACTCCAGGGTGTTTGAGGATTGAGTAGAAGTTTCTTGATCCATTGGATGGAGAGTACCTTGGCTTGGAGTGTGGGATCAATGATCCCCAAGCCTCCCTTAGCTTTTGGTTGAACGAGGTTCAAGCCACTCTGCTGATAACGTTCTTGTAATCATGGTTTCCTCTCCACAAAAAGGCTCTGAGTTGTTGATGAAGGGATTTAGTCCATCCAGAGCCCAAATTGCTGATTTATACCAAATTAAGGTTAGTACTACATTGTTAATCACCAAGGCCCTACCCATTATAGATGTATGCTTATTCTTCCATAGTTCTAGTTTGGTCTGGGCACTTTGAAAAATAACCTCCTCATTGATTGTTGGCTTCCCTTCCGCTGATAATGAGATACCCAGGACCCTTGTCGGCCTATCATGAGGAAGCCATTTAATACGAGGTTTTTCTGGTGGTCTAACTCCTCGGTAGTTTATCCACCAACCTAGGGTCTTTTCCCCCCAATTGACCTTCATGTCAGCTAGTCTGCAAAATTTATCCATTAATTCTTGAATTGTCTTCATGTTATCGTGTGATGCATCCACCATCAGAGAGAGATCATCAGCAAAGAGTGAACAAATGGAGATTGCCTCCTCTGGAATGGATGTCACTCGTATTTTCCTGATATCCTTGTGTTGTTTTAGATTAGTCGCTAGCTCTTCCATTACGATGATGAAGAAAAAAGGAGCTCGTGGGTCGCCCTGCCTTACCGATCTCTGCAGATCAATTGGAGGCGCCAAGCTACCATTAACCATAACACTTGTAGTAGCTTTTTGATGCAAGATTGTGATCCATCTTTTAAAATTATTTCCAAAATTCATCTTTGCAAGACATTTATCCAGGAAGAGTCAAACTGCATGATCATAAGCCTTTTCAAAATCAATGAAGATGAATGCTGCGTTATGTTTAGATTGGCGAGCCACTTTGATAAATTCATTTATGAGGAGAATATTGTCTTGTATATTCCTCCCCGTTATGAACCCTGTTTGCGCTGGATGGATAATGTCTGCGATAACATTGAGCATTCTATCTGCGAGTACTTTTGCTACTAATTTATAGACCACAGTGAGGAGTGTGATGGGGCGATAGCTACGAATGTTGAGTTTATCTTCTTTTTTATACAAGAGCGCGAGGACTCCTTGGTTGACTATCTCCCCCAAATCCCCTGCTTCCCATACTGCATGGTAATAATCCATTAAATCTTGTGCGAGGGGACCCCACATAGCTTCCCAGAATTCTTTCGGAAAGCCATCAATTTCTGGTGTCTTTTATTCTTCCATGAGAATTAGAGCCCTCCAAATTTCATCCTTGGACAGTGACATTTCCAATTTCTCCCTTTGTTCATTTGAGATTGCTTTATTGAAAGGAATTAGGAATTCATTAATTTCCTTTTCTTTTAGATCTTGAGGAATAGCTGAGTTTTTTTATGTGAATAGGTCTTTATAAAAGTCCCTGACTATTTTCATAGTGGCCGCTGTAGAGATGGCTAAGGGTTCATTGCCGTTGAAAATATTTATTAAGGTTTCTATCGTGGTTCTACCTGACCTTGCTTTGGCCATGGCGAAGAAGCGAGCGTCCATGTCCCTTCCCCCGTATTCTAAACCCTTGTCATCTGTACTCCATGTATTTAAGTAATTGGTCCTCAAGTTCTTGAATTTCCTTTGCGATTGGCTCCATGGCCAAGGACCCTGCTATTACCGACCAGAGGTGAGGTATCTAGTGAGGTATCACCACTAGTTGGCGCTAAGTGCGCCGCAGGATGTTGTGGGGCTCGAACCCTCAACCTCCTGAATGTCACTTGCGTACCTAACCCACTGAGCTAGGCCCGCCCCGGTAGTCAGGCCCCGGTAGTTAGGCCCTACTTTCTTCAGCAGTAACTGGGTCCAAGCGTCTTACTAGGATAATTCTTGAGTCTTAGTACTGGGTTTCTGCCGAGACTGTTTCGGACCAGCCCGCCTTTTTTTCTAGAGGGTACCGGTCTGGATTCAATGAATCTCTTGTCATGAGATGTGGTGACTTAGTATTAACAGCATAGCTACAGTAGAGTCTTTCATCTGAAGCCAGGCTTGCTGACCCCTGACGAAGACCGGACTGACGACCGGTCGAAACGCGGCGTCGGGTTGCGCCGTCGTGCATCGAAGTGTTTTTTCATGACTTTCATTCAGACGATGCGCACCTGCGCTCAGATTATGTCGCTATCTCTCTCGTGTCTATTTTTTCGTTTATTCCCTCATCTTCACTGTTTATCCTACCTTCACATGCATGTGTGATTGCCTACTTGTGAACACTATACGTGCTTCATTTCGCGCAATAACCGTCATAGCAGGATACTACGTTAGAGTGGTTGCATAGTCACGGTCGCATCGTTGTCTCATACAAAGCAGCTTTGTACTCTCGTTCTCGTGTGTTTTATTTTTCTTCATTTTTTTTCAACTTTTTATCATCTTGTATCTGTCGGTATGAATTACGGGGGGGCTCGGGTTTGCCATCATTGCAAGCAACTCGGACATTTCGTTAGGGATTGTCAATTGCGACAGATCCCGAATGTTGCCGCGTTACTAGGCGGCAATGGAGGAGACGCGAATCGTGGATCGGCCTCTCACGATAACGATCGACTGCTACCGGCATCGAACGCAATAGTTCCGTACAGAGCGCCTGCGGCAAATGAAGGACAACGTGAAGAGAGTCGATCGGGGTCTAACCAAGGGTACGGGAACTACAACAACCAAGGATACGGAGGGAACAACAATCAAGGGTACAATCGATCTGGATATCAGCCGCGATCGAGGAACAATTGGTGGACGGAGAATCGGGAACGAGAGAAGAATGAGAAGTTCGACAAAGTATGGGGGTGGTACTCGGATGAGATGGAGACTAAGGAAAAGGAGAAGCGGGAGAGGGAGCAGAAGTTGAAGGAAGAAGAGGAGAAAAAGAAGGCGCTACAAGCGGAAGAGGAACTTGAGAAGAAGAGAAAGGAGCGAGAAGAATTCGAGAAATCCATTGGAAAAATGGTCAAAGACAACATGAAGGATGTTTGCGAACAAGTGACGGGGAAGAAAGCTAGCAGCAACCAGGGCACTACTGCAACAGTCAGTGACGTGGCGCGATGCACTGAATTGGAGAACCGTAGGCGCAGAGAGGATGCAGCCATGCGAGAACAACTTGAGAAGCAAAGGAACAACGAGGCTGACCGCTTAAGGCGGGAGAACGATGATCTTACCAGATTGGCCTCTGGAAGGGCGAGTAAGGAGTTGGACTCTCTCAAGGCCGACAGCCAGGCTCTCTTGCACGATACACTTCAATTGAAGGGTGAAATGGAGCAATTGAGAAGAGGCAGTAAATGAAGTTCCGAAGCGGTGACCGAGAAGAGTCCGCCCGTAGAGCCAGTGCGGGGTAAAGCGAAGGCTGCTAACGACGGACAAACTCTAGCTGAATGGGCCAAGCTTGCCGAGGCATATCGACGATTGCGTGATGAGAAAGATATGGCCGAACGAGAAGTTTCGGCATTGAAGGAGAGTATCAATCACATCAAGATTGTTTCACCCTCGAGTTCGAAGAGGAAGTTGTTTGTACGAAGGAAGAGCGTTAAAGGGGGTAGCAGTCCCAATCGGAAAGATGGGGATCATGTCAAGGTTACCTTCGTCCGGAAGATCGGGGAAGAAAGGGACATCTTCTACAAAAGGGTATACAACGACCTGGGAAGATGAGGAAAGCACAAGTGGAGACGTTGTGCAAAGACGAAGAGATTGAGTATGGGGGTGTCAAAAAAACGGTTGCTGACCTCGCCGACATCTACACGGCCAGAGCGTATGAGCAAAATACGAAAAGAAAGTTGATCGAGGACAATGAAGAGGAAGATCCTGGTGACGAAGATTAGGATGGAGGTGAGTCTGCAGATATGGCAGGAACTTCCACCGATGCAACTTCAACTGAGGAAACACCGTAAGGCCAACTCCAAGCGTTGGCGTTATTTATTCTTCCCTATCTCTGATTCGTGGTCTATGAAGACGAACCGGTGACAAACAAGATCTGTCTAGTCTAAATCGACTTTTTCGCTACTTTGTCATCTCGTTGATTCTCTGTTCTGCTATCCCCTGGGGTAACAAATTCGCTTCTTACATCTATGCTCTCGTTCGCTCTGGGTATGATTTCAGTTTGTGTCCTGGTCCTGTAGTGTACGTTCTCATTTTCCCTTGGTAGTTCACGTTCTCTTAATGTGCGATGGAAAGAGCATGTTCAGCGGGCACAGTACGAGGGTAAGACAGGGCAGGTGGGAAACCACAGGCTGTATCGATGGTTGAGGAGAAACGGTATTGCTAACTATGTCGCCCTGCCTATTGTTAACCCCGCTGTTGTTGATTTGCTTAGTGTGGCAAGATAATTCATTCGTAACTTTTGCCCTTTTCTTAATAATCCTGGTCAAAGGAGGCCTAATGCGAATAGTAAGAATAGGCTAGGGCGTAGAGAGTGAAATAAAAAAAAGAGGGATGATCGGTCGCATGGGAGTCGGTGTTGTAATAAGTTAGTCGCGTTGTTGGAATTCCAATCGTCGTTTGGTACGACCTCAGCGTCGCTCTGTAAAGTTTTGGATGATGCTTTCGATAATAAGTTGACGTTCTTTTCGGTGGAATGCCGAGGCGGCACTCAGTTATGTGACATATGAAAAGTTCAAAAACGGAAGTTTGGGTCTACAACGGTACTGTCGTCCATAGGAACTTGCTTGTTTAAGACTGCGAGAGCATGGTTGGTTCCAGGGAACAAACTGTATTTTGATAATTTGACACGTTTTTGCTCTCGTTTTCTGGAAAGGAAATAGGAGCTGGTACCCTTACTCTCTCGACCTGTTACGCAAAAGAAGTTGTATCATCATGATTTCAATTCCTTACTGAGATCCTATTCTACTATTTGATATTTTTCTAGGAAAGATAGTTGTGTTACCGCGCGTTCATTGAACGCGTGTTTCACATTCAGGATATGAACGTGGTGAACGCGCGTGAACGCGCGTGAACGCGTTTGACGCGTTTGCGCGGGGGGTTGTGCGGGGTGGGGGGGGCCTTTGGGCTGTGTGGGGAGTGGCAGCGGTGCTTGGGAGGACTGTGGGCAGTGTGGGGAGCTGCGACGGTGCATGGGGGGGGCTGTGGGCCAATGCCCCAGGCAAAACGGGC